TCTTTCAGCCTATCACCTTCGTTGCGCGTCTTGGTATACCTTTCTGAACCAGCAAGATCACACAGGCATAACCTGAAGGCAGATAAGGAAAATTAAGTTTTCTTGCCTCGGAACGTGCCCTGATTATTTTCATTTCTAACACAACCACTCCTCCCAACGGAAGAATTTCTTGAACCCTCCCATGCTTTTTAATGTTGCTTTCCTAGCAAAGCTGCACGCTACTTCCTGCCAAACGCTTCTTCAACAAAGCTTCATTTTTCTGCCATGTGCTTCTTTCTGAGGACTTAACGTTAGTTCAGAAGTCAAGTGGAGCAGGATAGAGGAACACTGTGCTGAACAGAGGGCACAAGATGCAGAACAGCACTGCAACTGGATGGTTTAGTACCGTATGACGATAGGAAATGGGGAACCACCACTCATACACGAGGCTCCATCAGGGAACACTGAGTACGTAGCCTAGTATCAATACACCAACACTGAAAACAACTGACAATTTCACCCCAAAAGAAGAAGGGACCTTTGTTCTGAACTTACTCATTGACTCGTGTCACTCGTGGCATTTCAAGGTCTTCAATTTTTAGTAACTTGATGGTAAATACACTGTGGCTGAAAGGAGAAATTTAAAACCAGTAAGGAGAAATGAAGAAAGGACAGAAATACATATATTTAATAAAATCTACAACATCTAGTCAAAACGCTGCTGGATCTACTTGAGATTCAATTAACTTCATAATTCTACTGGATGCAGTAAGCCTTTTAAAGAGACATTTTTCTCAGCTTGTTTTGCTTTTCTTCCCTCCCCCAAACCACCAGTGCTTAGACGGAAGAATGCTTAGTTATTCTGCTGAGAGTTTTTGATAAAACAATTGGCTTTTGTACACGCTTATCTGCTTGAAGGACTAATCCATCTTGTTTCAAGCACTAGAATCACATGCAGTTACAGGATATCTAATGGAACACTCGATATCAAGCCTTTCTAAAGCCTCCTGCCCTACAAAAGCCACTGGCAGTATTTTCACTTATCCCTCTTCCCCACACCATCTTACACCCAACCTCAGTCAAAGTCTCCCACCTTCGGCTGGAGCAAGCATTCAGCTTTGTGCTTGCAAAACTCCGGTGTTTCTGTCCCAGTTTAAAAAGTCTAAAAGCTTCTTCACAATCAGAGACCTGAACCCACTGCAGACCTATCAGAAGAAGGAAAAGTGACTTTGTGAGCTTCATTAGCAAAAGGAAAAGTGAACAAGAAATGAGGTATACAAACAAAGAATAATACACTTAGTCAACACAAGAAAATATTGTATTAAGTCTGCTTCAGACACACGGTAAGCGGATGAGAGATAAGACTAAGATTCTTCCTCCCATGGAAAAAGACAAGACACAGTATGCCTCTGCATTCAAGCAGACATTTCCAGAGCTAAACTGAACACATTTAAGAGTTTTCTATCTCAGAAGAAACATTATTACAGAAATAACACTTTTCCATGACAAGCTTGGTGATTTGCAAAGCACTCCAGTTACCTTTCACGTAAGAATATCCCTTGATGTCTGGAGCAAGGCGAAGTGTCTTCTTTTTCTTGTCATCTGACATAGGAGCCAGTAAATCATAAAAACATTCATTGTAAATCTCAAAAAATGAAACCCAAACAGAGAACTTTGAGAAATTATCTAGAAATAATCTGCTAGATTGTTCTGATCCTTTTGAGAGATTTCCTACACCTGCAAAGTAGAAAATATTACAAGTCAATCTAGAGACAGCAAAACTAATTGCATTTAAAAGTTAGTAACGACTAAGATTACAGCAGCCTTGTTAATTAAAGAAAACTTTTCCCAGGCAAAAACCACAGACATCCCCCTCCTCCCATACACATACAGAGCATCTGGAAGTCATATGCTTGCCCTACACCTTTGCAAAGACACATCTGCTTGAGAGCTTGCTTTTCCACTTCCAAAACCTAATCTAACGTGTCTAGTTGGGTTAGAAATATTCTGAACTCTTCAAAGGCTTTACAATATAGAGACTTGAATTGGTAGAGACGCCTCGCTCTGACTTTTTAGGGAAACTTACTATTTAGGCAGTTCTTAAATGCCCTAAAAGCCTGTCCGAATATCCCTAGGAATCTTATCACAAGCCATACTCTTTCTCTTCGTTTTACTTACACCTCCTGCTTAACACCAGGTTATGCTAGACGTCCAAGTAGTCTCCTAACCACTTCATCCCTTCTGTTTTCTGCCCAGATGTCCTGCCCATTATTCCAATCCATCACAAATAAAAGCCAAATAATCCTTTTATTATTAACATTGGCAAGGAACCAGTGCTTGACCTTAGCAGTTAGAAAAGCTTCTGTATTGTTTAATACAAAACATACCCTTAGAATCAGCCGGTGCTTTGCCGTTAGGGCTATTGCGATGGTCTACCTGCAAAAGAAAACAGAGACTTCAGGATTTATTACTGAAGTACAGCACCAACACACCACCTGTTGCCTGTTTGGTTTTTTTCTTTTTTTTTAAATACAGCTATATGGCCCTCCCAGAAAGCAGTACAGCATAGTTTCAATATGCCAACACCAAAATCCTGGCTGTACACAACGATTGGTTCAGTGCACTCATACATTCCTGTGTTTTTACCTTACTACTCATTCCTGGCATTTCCTTTACTATAACATACTACAGCTCGCCGATACAGGGGGAAAAAAGAAAAAATGGAAGAGAATCCCAAACTGGAAGGAGTTACTTAACAGAATGATTTTCAACAGCCCAGTTGTAGTCTGCATATTACCCTCAATTTCATCAAACTAGGGTTCATGAAGTATTTTTCTTTTTGTCATTTTCATAATTCAGGACTTCCATATCTTATGGCTTATTAGGTCAACTCTTGGAAACTAAAGTTAAGGTAGAATACTTGATCATTTAGTGTAGGTAAGCAGCTCATTGCTTCTTAACACAGGCTGTCAAAGTCTTACACAACTGAAATTAACTCTAAACTTTGTAAATATACTATTTTCTTTGTCCAAACTGCTTAATAATACAAAATGGTTCCCAACATCCAGAACTTATGATGTTCACACACGCATAATCAGTTCCCAGGCTACAGATTCTGAGTGTTTTTTTTTTTTTTCCTATTAAAGCACAAAAGTAGAAAGAAATTCCCATCTACCAAAGTGAAGACGAGGAGTCTCACCTACCAGACACAGTATGCTTAAGAAGAAAAACTGAAAAACGTTCATCTACACAACACACAGATCTGGCTTTGGGTAGGCAGCAAAGCTTGCAGCTACTCAGTTTATCAGGTCAAGAGTTCTACCTACAAACACGGCTCTTGAAACCAGAGGAGGCACCTCTAGCACATGATCACATCTCATCCTACTCCATTAGAGAGTTAAGATCAGCATACAGCTGTTCACTGCATTTTCTTTCCACATCCTCACTAAACCTGGAACAGTTTTACACAGCTTTGGTTCATGCACATGTAGAAGACAGGTGTTGTTTCCCCCCGCCATACTTACAGATCATTGCAGCCAGACTTAACACGTGCCTGGGCTCTCAAAGTTATTCAGAAAGAATCTGACTGCCACCTGCCTTTGACGCACACTTAACTAACTCCTCAATAAGATCAATCTAACTCCACAACTGAAATACCTCACTATGGTGTGGCATGCCACTAAGAAGATGCTTCATTCTTTTTTGACAGGAACAGAAAGATGAATAAACAACTACGTGACAACACACAAGCCTCTTTCATCACACAAAGCACAGGATCACACTGAGCTCTCTCAAGACGCATGTACTCATCGTTTCTTTATGAAGTAGTCTCCTACCTCTTTTGTCAGACGAAGCAATGAATTTTTAAGAGCAGTTTCTTCTCTCACTTGGTCTTTAGTCAGTTTTATGTAATCTCGCCACCGAATAGGTTTCAGATCCATTTTTGTGTAGAGCCTTCCTCCAACAGTTTTAAACAACATATCCATCGTCCTTGGCAGAATACCAACATCATCTTCTGTCCCTGTAAGCAAAAGAAAGGCCCCAGTAATTATCATGAGCAACGTACAAACTAAACGAAGACGAAGATAACTGATTTGAATCTCAAGGCATGCACAAAAAATTAGAGGCCAGTTACAGTCTGAAGCAGCGTTTGCAGTGTTGCTAGTGAAACACAACCCATTCCTTAGACATTACAGGGCATCACTTGAAAACAGCCAAGATATACTGCATCAGCTTAGCCATAAGAGAAGGGGGAAAAGAAAACGCAGCAAAATCCCACATTTAACAAATATGCAAGTTTTCAACTGTTTTCCAGGCTTCCTCCCCTCTCTGAAATAATCCTGACATACAACCAGAGAGATGTCTCTGTAACACCACTGTATTCATCCCACCAACCTTACTAACCAATACCTGGGAGCCTTGTAACTATTGCTCAAGGAACTCAACTTCTTTCCCCACTGCCTTTTCTTAGAGCTGAAAAAAGACAAGCTTCTATGACGTTGTTATTACTAAACCCAGAAACTTGAAAAAAGATGGAAATAGCCTGCTCAAATGTTTCAAAATGTTTAATCTCTGCCTACGATAAATCCATCAAACTCAGACATACTTTCTTCAAATAAAAAACAGCACCTAAGATGCATAATGTTATTGTAGGAACCAAAACCAAAGTTACTGATTTGCACCCTTCTCACAGACTGATCGTTTGTTTTCACAGCTTTCTCTTTGCCCTGAGATTTGGAGTACTTGGACAAGGAAGTCATACACATCTCTCTGAAATTCCTGCCGGCTTACAAAGGACTACCACTGCACGTATACGCAAATTCGGGTAGTGACTACAGTTGTCACTTTAGTAATATATGTCATGGAAGAAGACTGTTCAAGGCTACTAATATTCAATAGAAGGCAACGTACAAAGCCTGCTGAGTCACTAGGTAAGAAGTCAAAACATCTCTCTCTTCTAGAAGTAAGTCCTGCTTTAAGAAACTAATTCAAGGAAAAAACTTTTCTACTCTTACCTTGGAATGCGTAGGTTTTCCCAGCATTTCTAACACCATACGTAAAAACAAGGTGATTACATCCTTCTAGGAAGTCTAGCACTGGCTGCTTCACTGTACCTTCAAAGAATTCTTCTTGAGTTGCTTCAGGTCCAAACACCTGAACGTTACCAAGAAGCTGGTTAATCTCTTTAGATTGTTTAAGCAATCCTTACATACTTGTAGGAGTCAGATACACGCTTATAATCATACAGAGAATTCTTAAGAGAAACTTGTTTGTTCTACATTAAGTAACAGAAGACAAGCAACATCTTCCACAAATAACTTAGAGGCATTTAAAGAAAATTCATTTACTCGTGAAAAGGTGAATTTCTGTATTGCCTGTCCTGCAGTTTTCTCAATCGGTCGACTCCAGGAGCTCTTAGGGGGTTTCAGTATAACGCTTGTTGAGTCCTCAAGTGAAACACACCCCTATTAAAAGGAAGCACAAGTAATGCAGGCATCAAACGTGTTTTAAAAGATCATCATAAGGGGAAAAGTAAACAAGTATACATTAAGGGGTGTTTGTTTCCTTTTGTTTGGTAGTTTGCTTTTTTTGTTTGTTTGTTTTTAGTGTTAAGATTAAGTAAATGTCCTACCTGTGATCCATTTGCTCTTTCCAGTGCTGTAAAGGGCTTTATACGCAGGCAAACTTGTATGTGTCCCCTAGGCTCCAAACTAGACCTCTAAAATTGAAAGAGCTGGAAGTTACAAATCTGACTAGATCCTCTCTTTGATGATTAGCACATTTACACAGCATTCTTTTCATCAGCCTGTTGTAACAGACTCATTTGATGACACGGGAAGCACGAATATTTCACTCTGTTTTCACAAGTGCTTTGGCCCCTGCTAAACTTCCTTGTGAGAGCCTGGAGTTTCAAAACAAATAATACTGCAGTACACTCATGTTTTAATATCTTCCATGCTTACCAGTCCTGGTCTTTCACATAGCTCCATGCTGGCAACATAGGATGGTCTGGAAAGTTTATCTTTGTCTGAATTTGTTTCCATTCTGCAAGATGATACAAAAAGAAATTATTCTTTGCTCTTTCAACGCATAATGCAGAGTTCCTAAGCTCAGTTAGGAAATACGAGACTAAGTGATATCTGCAGTTTGCTTTGTGTGTGCGGACTGACTCTTGCTTCGTCTTCCTTTTCTGTTCTACTCAACTTTCTTTATCTCAAACCCACAAGTGTAACCTTTTTCCTATTCTCCCCTCCATCTCCCTACAAGGAGCAAACCCTGTGGTGCCGAGCTGCCTGTCAGACTAAATCACACCACAACCGCCCATCGGGAAAAAGCCTTTTGCATGTAGCACAGCCTTCCTAGAGCCATGATGGCTGATGGAAATAGTCACAGGTACCATTTAGTAAAAGCAGGCCCGCTCCACATAACCTTTCCCGTCATCTCATTTTGCAGTTCGAGTCTCCTTTTGGAATAAAAGCTTATCACAATAGAACATTGCAATGGCTTATCCCTGTGGCACCTAATCAATCGTTGGTATGAAGAAGGATAACCCGATGCAGTTTTACACAAGGCAGGACTCAGAGGCACTGTGAAGTCTAACAGGTAGCTTTGGTATTAAGAGGATACTAAATATCAGAAAACCTCATGCCAGAGTACAACTGTTGGCTTTTAAATCCGCAATTTAACTCCTTCAGTGCATCTCAGTCTCAGCAGTGATCTGCTACAGAAAAGGAAAGTGTAATTGATTGAGCGTGACAGGACACCAAAATAACCCTTAAGACGCACATCTGTCATACAAATACCCGCGTATTTTGCCCACACTTCATTCTCCTGCTACTTCTTCCTCTGATACCACAGGTGCCATCTTTGCAGATTATATTTGCCCTCTGAAATAGCTTGTCAGGATATCACTCATCTATCACGGCAAAAAGCACCCTAACACTTGGTGCTGCCCGGCTTCCTACAGCTTGGACAGCGATTCAGCTGCCTTACAACCCTACACCCTCACGCCAAGCTCCAGCAGCGCACATACAGTGTCCGTAAGTGCTAATAGGGAATAGGAAACGTTCGATAAACTTCAGCGGTTAAAGCGGCCGATGGGACCAGCGCTGGGGCACGGCCCTTCGCTCGCTGACAGCGCTGCCTCTCACGCAGTCACGTTTTTGATCTCCTCGAGCAGCACAAAAAGCCGGGATGGAGCAACACACAGCTCAGCCCTCCTACCCGACCAGCAAAACGCAGCTACCGAGTCGGACAGGGCTAGGCAGGCATCGCCGAAAGTCACGCTGAAGGGAACGGGCCAGGCGTTCCCTTCCCTCTCCCTACAGCTTTCAAACAGGGGAAAGCCCGCCCTGAAATACCGCCCGAGCTTCAGCAAACGCCGTCTTAAGCAGGACGCGCCAAGCACGGTCGCTCCCGCAGGTCGCTAGGCAACCGCAAACCGCCGACGCCGCCAAAGGGGCCGCACGTCTCATAACCGCCGCTTCACGTTCAGCGATGGCTGCTCGCAAAGCGGCACTTAGCAGGATCCTGCTCTCGTGCTGTGATTTCTCGTTTGAGAAGCAGAAGCAATAGGTGCGCCGCATGCAGAGCTGGAACAGTAGCCCTACATGTGAGAGTTACGCTGGCATCGGTAACGCTGCGAAATGCCTAACGCCCAGCTGCCCCTGTCAGGCACGACTGCGCTGCGGACACCTCGGACGTCCCGAGGCGGAAATTGTAGATACCACCGCGGAAGAAGTGCTCTCCCGTCGGCCTGTCCGCGCCAGGAGGGGCTGCCAGTGGATGCAAGGGCAGCCGCAGGGGGCTGGAGGAGACCTCAGCCCCACCCTCTCCGGCGAGCCTTCACCCGCCATCAGGACCTTAGTGGCACGGGAGGAGACAGCAGTACCCCGCCGATCGGTCCGCCACCGCCCCTCCCTTCAGTCCCACGGCCCGCGGAGGCCCGTGCCCGCACCGCGCCGGCCATCCGCACCCTCAGATCCCGTGCCGAGCGCCCCCCTGCGCCGCCCACCTGCGCGCAGCGCCACCGCCGTCCAAAGAGCACGCCCGCTAACGTTCGCGCGTTGTTTTCAAATTCAGCCAATGGCATTGCGCGGAGCCGCGACGCATTCTGGGTTCGAGCTGGGATTGGCTGTCGGCGCTGGCGGTGCCGTGGCGAAGTGCCCGACGGGAGATGTAGTCGTAGGGCATGCGGTTGTTCGGTCGTGCTGATTCCGTAGGAGGGCTCCTCGTGAGAGCCGCCCGGCTCCAGGATGGCGCTGGGCTGCGCGGCTGTTCACGCAGAGTTTGGGTTGTTTTTTTTTTGTCATACCCGCGCAGAACGCCTAGGGGCAGCGGGACTCCCGCTGCACGGCATATCGCCTGGGTCCCTCGTCTCCCCTTCTCTCCCCGCGCGTCCCCAGGCCTGTGAGGATGTCTGTAAGTCCGCTTTCGTCGATCCTCGCGTGGTTGCGGTGCTGCTGCTCCCACGGGCCCGGAGGCTGCGCTGCGGTGCGCTGCGTGCAGGCGGTCTGATCGCTGCCTGCAGGGAGCACCGAGGCCAAGGCGCTCCGTTTGGCTAGCTGCTGGCCTCGTGTCACTTCGGCTCTTCCTCACTGCGGGTACAGCGCTGATACAGCTGCGGGTAATGCTGTCTGTGTTCGGAACCTTACTCTGTTGGAAGTTATTGTTCGGGCTACTTTATTTGACTTTGTGGTCAAAACATGAAGTGCCAGTTGTGCCAATCAGATTATCGTGTTCCAGAATTGCAGCGTGGCAACTTGTGCGTTTTGCTAACAAAAATTGCCACGAGCTTCCCTTTAGACTCAGACAGGAATCTTCTGATCTGCAATGAGAATTGTCTGTCTTATGCTGAAATAAAAGGAAAACTATCTTGGAAGTAGTTGGTAACTATCAAACAGAAAGGTTTGTTTTTCATCTGAAGAAAAGAATGCTGTATAGTGCAGGCAGTTCTGTATAAAATCCTTCTGTGCAGATCCTGCTGCTTCAGCTAAGCTGTTTGAAATCCCTTCTCTCTTTAAACAGAAGTTATGTCATATTGGTAATAAATGTTACTTGATTTTTATTTGGATGCTGGCCATGTTGCAAGAGTTGCTCTGTTTTAATGGTGTAAGATCATGCAACTTTGAATTGGAAATTGTTTGCCAAGCAAAACCAACAAGCTCCTGTAGGCTCTGTTAAAGGTTATTTTTAAACGTATCTTCTATGTAAACTAATTCCAAGTCGTATTTTTTTTTTTATCAGGAGAGGACTGAGAACAATTGAGAAAGAAAGGAAAAATTTGCTTCTAGGGCAAACTTGACAGTTTTTTTGTATAAGTAGCTGAGAAGGTAAATTGAAGATCTCAGACAATTTTGCAAGATACAGTCCTAGAAAGGTTGGAGACTATCTGTATTAAAAGCATCAACAACAACAAAAAACCACCCTGCTAAGGTGAGACATAATAAAGAACACATAACAAGCAACATTTTCGTTTTCTTTGAGTACTGGATTTCTAAAGCTGTTTTTATTGTACTGCATATGCAGCATAACTTAACCTAGCATCTCAGAGGTCTACCACCAACATATGAAAAGAGCAAACTAAAACACAATCTAACACGTGCTCTTAGCCTCATACAAACAGTGATAAAGAAAACATTAGCACTGCATAACCCAGCCTGCTTTTGCATGATTCTATGATGACACTCCATCTATGTATATGCACTTTATGGCTTTCAACCAATACGCTTTCCTTAAGTGGTTTGTGCAAGGATAGCCAGTTACAACAAAATTATCTGTTGCCAAATCTGTTAACTTACTGCCTCTGAAATTTGGTCGTTTCTTGTAAAATTGCCTGTAAGTTGTGGAGCAAGGTTACTGCTCTCCAGGGGCCTATGGTTTTTGTAAATGACATAGTAGAACTCTTCCCCTTATCCTGGGAAACACATGCTCCCTGTATATGGGACAGGATTCAAAAGTTGTGGACAGTCTGCTCATCTGAGTGACAGGAAGATGCCCTACAATACAGTTTGTGTCAGTTAGCTTTGCTTTGCTATCAGAAGTAATTAGAGACACCATTAGCACTGCTGGGATTCAGCCCACCACTCTGAACACATCGAGCAGCAGCAAACCAAGCCAGGCTTCAGCAGCTCTGTAGTCTCACCTTTGCCAGGAAAATTAACAAAGCCACCTCTGTGTCCCCTCAGTGCCTGGATTTACTCCGTACAGACTTTCTGGCCCTGCTTCAGGGAAGGTCCTTCTTGCAGGGCTAGTCTGGAGCTCATTGGCACAGAAGTGTCCTTGCAGAAAATGGTGCATTTCTTGAGTTATCTCTTTGGTAGGTGCTGCATGAACCCCTTTCCCCATCATTTGCATTGCTGTTGAGGTATTTCTCACTGCCTTTCATGTGACTCCATATAGAAGTTCCCTCACTGCAGCCAGTGGCCTTCAAGTGTCATTATGTCTAATGCACATGCATTTCATTCTATGAACTCATTTTGCAGATGGTTCATTTTCTGATTTTCATATAGTGCTATAGGTATGTTCTGCTTTACCATATCTTCATTTTGGCTGGAAAGCTGCACAAAGGAAAAGAATCTGGGGATATTAGTTGGCCAATAGCATCCTGGCTTGTATCAGAAATAATGCAGCCACCAGAACAGGGAGGTGATTATCCCCATGTACGTGGCACTGGTAAGGCCTTACTTCAAGTATGTATTTAGTTTTGAGCCCCTCAGGGT